GCCAATATACTTCTGATGTGAGACAGGGTTGATACCATTGAGGTTCCTGCAGCAAATTATAGTAGAACCACTGCGTAGCGACACATGTATATTACGATGTAGTACTAAGGAACACTGTATCATGTACCTTACTACACAAGTAATAAGTTCTTGGTAGCTTTTAAGGTAGCGGAGCGCAAACCCCCAAAATCAAATACAACAGGCCGTACCAAGGCTAGAACGTACGTATCTTAATCCCAAGGGTGGGGTAGTTAACAAAGTTACTAATGACTATACCCTGTGACTTCTTGCCCCACCACAGATAAATAGATCGCCCCCTCTTCCCCAGCCGACACGCTTAGGTCCCCTCACCCCTACGAAATTTCGAGTATATAGCGAAAGCACTGTAATTGTGCGGACGCTGTTCTGAGACCGCCACACTCTTAAGATCAGTTCACGCACTGTGGAATATGGTCCTACTTACATAGCTCCTCTATTCTCGAGGAACGCAACAACGTCATACCCTACTTTAAAAGGAGATAAGCTCAACAATGCGCTACACTCCGTTCGCTTCCGATATAGAGTTCCCATTCTATACGGCTTTATCCTCACTTAAGATTAATCACGACAAGCTTGACGATGCTGCCCGTAAAGTGCTAGGTCTCTATGAGGTTCGATCTACAGACCTCCCTAATGCCTCCTGTCGAATGCAGATACATGGGAATGCCCTGACAACAGACGAGTGAGTTATGATCTACTACGGGTCTGGGTGTTTACGATCAATAATATAAATATATATTGACAAGCCGCCTGGCTACCAGAACACCGGTTGGGTTTTATCGAGCTGAAGGAGTGATCAAGAATGTCAATACACTTGAGGAGTATACAAACATCGATAAGGCACATATTCTCCAGCAGTCCGCGAAAACGGTTAGGCACGCACTTATGAATCAACCAGGATCATACTGACTTGTAGACATACTAGGTCTGGGATGCCATATGCGATGGCACTATTTATTCATGCCCCTCTTTGCTTGCGTCATTCTTCATTTTGTCGTACGCGGATCTAAAGAAATACAAATTTCACTATTGGTTCGCATTCCCGGCACTGCACTCGAGCCCTTCCTGGGCTCTTCTTGAGAGGACCGAGGAAAATGTCAACCCTTGTCAAACTAGAGGAGCGGTGTCACCGGCTGGGGGTCTAGAAGATGCGGAATTATCAAATCTCGTGGAGACGGTCAAGACGTGGAGCTACAGTGTAGAAGACCGCCAGCGAGGGTTTTTCTTGGCTAGGAGACTTCATGGTGCCGGAAATGGAACAATGTTCGAACGCAACTCAGAAGTTACCGACGGGTTTACGGAATCAATAAATCACGATGGCCCACGGTGGAGGATTGCTCCTCTCCTAGCCTACGAGGATGGCTTTTTCAGAGATGCGAGATTTGAAGACTGCTTCGTCTGTTTCGCTGATCCTTCAAACTATGAGGATGCACCCGGATGGATGCTGAGAAACCTTCTGGTACTTGTAAAACGACGGTGGGGACTCAATAAGATCCAGGTACTGAGATACCGTGACATGCAGCCGCACCCCAGCCGCGGTCATTACAAAAGCACAGTGTTGACTCTGCAATCGGATGACATGCAAGCAGCGGCTACTGCAGAGTCGCAAAGTTCGACCAAAGACATGCCGAAGGTGACCGGCTGGGAGCGTAATCCAGCCGGTAAATTGACAGGTCGCTTCGTCGACCTCACAGAGTACTTGGATCCTAAGAGGTAGGACACCATCTTTTTTTATTGAGACTCTTGTATCATATACTGATACAATCCTCAGACTAGCCGACCAGTCGGTCGATCTGAATCTGAAACTCATGAAATGGCGTATCAGCCCTAATCTTGACCTTGATAAGATCAAGCGCACCAAGTGCCTCCTATTGGGGGCAGGAACCCTCGGGAGCTATGTTGCGAGGAATTTGATGGTATGGAAACCGCAGGAGATCTGAGTCTATGAATCGGCATCTGACAATGAGAATAGGGCTGGGGGGTGTCTAAAATCACCTTCGTGGATAATGGGTCCGTATCGTTCTCTAACCCTGTGAGGCAACCACTTTACAATTTTGTCGATTGTATAGACGGCGGGGTGAAGAAGGCTCTTCGAGCGTCTCAGGCCCTGTTGGAGATTTACCCGGGAGTCAACTCTACGGGCCATGTCCTCTCTGTACCCATGGTTGGACATCCTGTCATTGATGCTGAAAAGTCTCGGGCGGAGTTTGATGTACTCCAGAGGCTTGTTGAAGAGCATGATGTCATTTTTCTCCTAATGGATACGCGCGAAGCACGCTGGCTGCCAACTGTCATGGGGAAGGCGGCTGGCAAGATAGTTATGAATGCGGCCCTCGGTTTCGATTCGTATGTGGTCATGCGGCATGGGATTAAAGCAATTACAGAGCCATCAGCAGAACTCGGGTGCTACTTTTGCAACGATGTCGTTGCACCGATGAACGTAAGTAAAACCACTCCAGCCTATAGATCACTATGCTAAGAGTTGGAAAGTCTGTCAAAGATCAAACACTTGATCAGCAGTGCACCGTTACTCGGCCTGGTGTGGCGGCTATAGCTTCGGCTTTGCTGGTAGAGTTGCTTGTTTCCCTTCTTCAACATCCCCTGGGTGCAGCAGCACCGGCCCCGACCTCGCGCAGTGATGATCGAGGAGACCATCCACTGGGGCTCGTGCCACATCAAGTCAGGGGATTCCTTGCGACATTTGAAAATATTCCAGTCACAGGCAGAAGCTACAAACACTGCAGCGCTTGTTCAGATAACATCACCCGCGCTTATAAAGAGGACGGTTGGGCTTTCGTCCTAAAGGCTTTGAATGAGCCTGGATACGTTGAAGAACTGAGCGGTCTTAAGGAGGTTCGTTAGTCTATTATCTTCATTGCGCCTTCCTTTTTCCCTTGTTCTATGTTATGCGATCTCTAGCCACCTCCAAATTTCCCTGTTTTTTTTCGGATTCAAGAAATTTACTGACATTATCCCAAGGTGCATGCTACAGCAGAGGCTTCACTTGCTGATGTAGAATGGGATGAGGACTCCGAATCAGCGGAGGAGATATAATTGAGCCCGGCTTGATGCTAAGAAGGGGGGCGCATGTTAGTTTGCAAATGCAATGAGTTTTCAGCAACTCATCATACCATGTTTTATCAATTGCCGCAGGATCCCTTATTCAGGGTACTATTTTCGACTGAGACCAATGAAAAAAGATTCTTTGGATTCCTGTGCTGATGTTCAGAACCCTGAAGGCCTGTTTATTGCTGTGTTTGACGAGGCGAGTGAATGCTTACATTGCGCGACGATTCCGGTTTAAGGCGATGGACTTTCCGAAATAGTTCCCTGAGCTGTTCCTCCAGGGCCTTATCTTCGGCTCCTTGGTAGAATTTGCAGACGAAATGCCCTCCCGTGCGGAGAACTTCTTGGCTGAACTGCAAAGCTGCGTGGCAAAGATCCTATCATCCATCAGCTGAGGGAAACCATCGAAGCATAGGGCAAGCTCAGCAACTTACCATACTACCCGCATGGTCTTTGAAACTAATGCCGCTTGTGTTCATCATCCTGTTATACGGATCACTTAGACTTCTTTTCCCAAACCCTGTCGTTTGGAACCAGGGAGCGGACATATCGCTTAGAACAACATCTACCGAGTATTTGCAATCCCATTGCTTGGGATCTGTTTGCTTGTCAGAGCTCGCGTTCTCCCCCGATTTGAGCTGCGTGTTATCGTAATCGGCATCCAAGATCGTACTTGGAGGGTATGGCCTACCCCTATTGGCGTCGCGCACAAATTCTCGAACATAGGCCTGGATATTCGGGTCGAGGAAGTTGCCTTGAATCGTAGATACTCCTTTAGGAGGCTGGGCCGGGATAATGTCAACGCCGAGGACGCGGCCGTGTGGTTGCGTTCTAGCTACTGCTACCTGGTGTGGTGTTATTAGCCAAGGTGCAATTGGTTTAGTCTTCACTCTGCACCTAACGCACTTGGGACCAGGAGCCAGGAGCATAACCCTAAATTGGATGGATCATACTGTCAATCAACATGGCCCGAGTTGCGGCATCTTGATTGTGGCTATCATACTAAATCAACAACCGTTTGTCCGCTCTCAAATATGTGGTATTTCTCGTCTATCTATTCAAAGAAATTATCAGGATGTATAGGATGGCGGGTCATGTTGGTTGAGTACTTGAAGGAGCTTGAAAGCCGCGCGGCTTTTCAGGCCCTGCACTGCTGCTTCCCTTGTGAAACGGTCCTTGAGCTGACGGGCTTGCCATCGTTTTGAGGATGAAAATCGCTTCAGGATCTGAGAACTAAGTAGACCAATGCCCTGTGTTGCAGGCGAACACTTCATAGATGGAACGAGTAGCATGGTTGCAACATTGGCAAACTTGGATGGAATAAAAATGAGTGACGTGCGGAAGGATGCCGAAGCGCTCCCGCGGAAGTGGTAGAGTGAGCGGGACTCGGTGTTACTGCCATTCATCATCGATAGTGGCTGGCACAGTACCACAAATCAGTGACTATTACTTAGTGACCATAGGATGTTCTAACTAGTCATCTACTGTATTGCTGAGACAAATATCCTTGACGTATAGACCTTCATCCACTCTTGTGGCATACTAAACCATCTACAGCACTACTATCGGGTAATTATGTTGTATTGGCGCCTTACTTGGTTGTTGAGGAATAGGATGATTACAGATAGATCGGCTTTTGCTCTCAATTCGACTTCCAGTAGATTAAAGAACAGCGAACAGCGAACAGCGACTTTGTTCCACCCGACCGAGCGGCAATATGGATCTAAATAGTTGGCTCCTGCTTTACTCCGTACAGTAGTAGCTGTACTAATCTACTTTGTAGCTACCGTCTAAGGAGTAAGAAGTACGGAGTACCCGCATAGCGACCCGCTCAGCGGTACGCGTTGTGGACACCTATCATCCTAGGCTTCTCGGATATGTAGTGCTCCGCTGCCTATCCATCCATGAACTGTCTACGTACATGGCCAATTTCTTCGCGGATTGCTGATCCGCCTCCTTTTCACCGCACGAACTGAAGATTATATTGTCATGCCAAAATGAAGCTCTTCAACCTTCTTGTGTCTTTTCTCTGCATGGTCACTTCCGCTTCTTGCGGCGCCGCAGACACAGACAAATTTGAGAGATATCGTTCACTCTCTCGCTCCGCTCCAATCGAACTGACCGACTCGTCGTACGAAGACATAACATCTAAGCCTCGCGACTATCATGTTGCAGTGCTTTTGACAGCTGCAGATGCTCGCTATGGGTGTATCCTTTGTCGCGAGTTTCAACCTGAATGGGAGCTCATAGCACGAAGCTGGAACAAAGGTTCCAAGCCCGATGGACTTCAAATGCTCTTTGGGACCCTTGACTTTTCCGATGGAAAGGGCACCTTTCAGAAGGTATTTAGCAAATATATGGCCTAGCAGTTTTATAATCTTAGCTGACATTGAGTAGTTGATGCTCCAAACTGCGCCTGTCCTCCTGGTCTTTCCTCCTACCGTTGGCCCCTTCGCCAAGATTGATGACGCACCTCTGCGATTCGACTTCAGCGGGTAACTATACACTGGATCTTTTAGTCGATTGATTGTCACTGACTTCGACCTACAGCCCGATTTCTGCTGAACAGCTATATACATGGATGAACCGTCAGCTTCCAGAGGGCCCGAAGCCGCCACTTGTTCGTCCGATCAACTACATGCGACTTGTCTCCGGCATAACCATTTTGATGGGTGCTGTGACGCTTTTCACGGTTTTGTCACCCTATGTCCTTCCCATTGTTCGCAACCGGAACTTGTGGGCTGCTTTCAGCCTGATTGCCATCCTCTTATTCACAAGTGGCCACATGTTCAATCATATTCGCAAAGTTCCATATGTTGCCGGAGACGGTAGAGGGGGTATTAGTTACTTCGCTGGTGGATTTTCAAACCAGTTCGGCATGGAGACGCAGATTGTTGCTGCCATTTGTATGTTGCCCACAATCACATGCATACATCTTATCTCATATGTGGATCTGATGCCAATTCGCTAATCGTGTTGTCAGATGCCGTCCTGTCTTTTGCAACAATTGCCCTGGCAATGAAGGTGCCCCGTATCGCAGACAACAAGGCACAGCAGGTAGCTGTGATCATCTGGGGTTCCGTACTTCTTGGTATGTACAGCTTCCTTCTGAGTGTGTTCAAGACGAAGAATGGAGGATATCCGTTTTTCCTTCCGCCGTTCTAAAGGATTTCCGATGTATAATATCAACATGAGCTTTCCATCCGACCAGGTGTGAGCACACTTGCTGCGGGTTAGCGGTTATTCTCGGGTAGTAGCCGTGTACTACTTTTTGAACTGCTTTTCTTCGTCCAGCTCCTCCGTTATCGTGTATTTACTATATAGTACATGGCGGAACAACTCTTCTTTCAAACGTGACCAGCTAGGAACCCTGTATTCAGCATAAATTTCCATATTAGTCGGCCGATGTGGTGAACTATAATGGCGAAAAGGGTAGCAAATTGGTTATCTCGAAAGTATGATTGCTAAATTGGCATCAATCGTATGCTCCAAAGGCCGGGTCTACAGTGGGCTCATCTGCAATTTCATTGCAAGCGAGTCCTGAGGTTTCAGAGGTTATCGTGACATTGCTGAGCCCAGTGTAGTAGCGGCATGCTCACTCCAAACTCTGCAATTCTCACATAGAACTATTGAAGCTCCGTATGGACTGAACGTGCAATTAGACACACAAGGAACAAACTCCAATTACCTCGCACGGTGTGTTGACATGAACTAAAATAGCCGCCGCTACAGCCAATTCCCGAGGCGCTTCCTTGGATGCAGGCAGTGTGAATTTATGTAGCTAATCCTTATTAAGCAGAAAACCCAATGACCAGTAGCTCGGTGCTAAAAAGCGTGGATTTGTTTCCTTTATCAACTTCGGATTGAGTACGAGGTCTGCGCGTTGCAAGTAACTACCAGAATGTAATAATGTGACTCTTCCCGTGTGCTGAAAACCTGCACACACGTTCTTCAAAAGCATCTCAGAACACTGAGTTTCACAACACAAAAGGTACACAATTAATCGTGAGCGTAACGCATATAATTACGGTCCGTTGTATACACTTAGCCAACGCTGCCGTTGAACTGTGCCTGTGCTATAAAACCGAATTGAGGAGCTTAGACACTGGCAGATAAACGCCAGAGCACGGGAACGGGAACTACCGCAAATTAGTACTCAGAAAGCACGTGGCCTTTTCGGCGGGACCCATATACTTCCTGCCAATGCTGAGCAATATTCGGACTTCTTTCGCCGAGCTTATTCTTATTTTATCCTTTCTCCCTCTTCCGACAGGGGGTCGACCAGTGAGATTCATTCCCTCTGCTGTAAGTCCGGGCTGCAGGGCCAGCTTTACGAAAACACAGAGATCCTTAGATAAGAGAGCCATTGATGCCCGCGGGCTTTATCCTGTCTACATGTCAGCAGTAGATGAGAATGTCAGCGCAATGCTGGCATCATCAGCATCTGGGACGACGATGATGATTATCGTTCAACTGGCCTCGAGGATTTTCACTTTCACCGCCAATCAGTTGGTTTTGAGGAGCTTACCTCCGGCCATAATGGGTGTTGCGTCCCAACTGGAGCTATACTTCATCTCCATATTATTTTTCTCCAGGGAAAGTATCAGGATGGCTATACAAAGACAGCCATTGCAACTCAAGCCCCTCACCACGTATTCCCACAAGGACAGCACTGGTACAGCTCCCAAAAGGATCAATGATGTATCTGAAGCCCGAACCATAGCCTCGCAGTCAGTAGTGAACATGTCCTACTTGAGCCTTGCCTTGGGGTTCTTGTTCGCTCTGGCATTTGCTGCATCTTATGTACAGCTAGCATCGAGAGAGGTGTCAGAGTTACCCTACTACTACGCAAGCGTGATAATCACATCCATTGCATCCCTTATGGAGCTCTCCACTGAGCCCTTCTTCACTGTAGTGCAGCAATATATGCTACACAGACAACGTGCAGTGGTTGAAATGAGTGCAGCCTTTGTAAAAAGCCTTACAACCTGCCTTGCCTGTGCGTGGGCTTCCAGAGCCGGCCACAGCATTGGCGTTCTCCCATTCTCAATTGGTTATCTCTGTTATTCTTCCACTCTCATCTGCGGCTATATGCTAGCCCTGTCGGGGGTTACAGACGCGCAGAAGTTTTCTATGCTTCCCACAAAGATAAAGTCAAGGTAGGTTATGGGAAAGTAAACTTACAATGTCCTATCTGATAAAAATGTCCAGGGACAGTTCAGAGTATTTCATGGGAAGGTTCTCATGGCCGATGATAGGGCTATCCACGAATGTGTTCTTTCAATCGGTGATAAAACATCTTCTCACCCAGGGTGATTCAATGATGCTGGCAACAATGACGAGTTTAGAAGACCAAGGCATATACGCACTAGCCTCTAATTACGGGGGTCTCCTAGCTCGCGTCTTTTTTCAGCCCATTGAAGAAAGCAGTCGAACGCTCTTTTCTTCACTGCTAAACTCTGGCGGGAGCGGACATCTACGTGTGAAAAACATCGATGCTGCTAAAACTCAGTTGACAGAAGTTCTCCATGCATATAGTCTGATGGCTATTGTGGGGTTCCCCCTCGGTCCAGTTCTGGCACCTCAATTGCTACGTCTGTTAGGCGGGCGCATCTGGGCTTCACCCAAGATCAGCAGCCTGCTTTCACTTTATTGCTACTATATACCATTTCTAGCTTTCAACGGTATAAGTGAAGCATTTGTCTCATCGGCAGCAAACTCGGCAGAACTACGCAGACAAGCGGTATGGATGGGGGTGTTTTCAGCATGCTTTGCATCTGCCGCGTACTTATTCTTGAAAGTCGGCGCTCTCGGTGCCCACGGAATGGTATATGCCAATATTGTCAACATGGCAGTTCGCATCATCTGGAGCTTTTCCTTCATTCGGAAATTCATGTCTCGACACGGAAGCGGTATGGCTATTGCTGAATTTAGCCCACGGCCGCTTACCTGTATCGCCAGTGTCACGATGTCTATAGTTCTTACCTCAAAGGGTCTATATGCTCTTGATATCTATAGCACGAGAGATGCACTGATATTTGGAGCTATGTACATTCTTCTCGTGTAAGTCTCACCGTTTTATTTACATGCAAGCCACAGTCTAATGGTGTGTATAGGTCTTATCTCGAGAGAAAATCTTTGTTCATATATTACACAAAAGCCCGCGAGCTGGTGAAATGCAAAACGTCCCGAACTCCAAAGTCTAAAGGCGAATGAGTCATCATCAATCGTCAAAAACGATCTTGGTTGATGTCTTATTGGTGTCGACATCCTTGAAAAAAGCGCCATATGCGTCATGTTGCTTCTTTTTGACCGTTGCCCCGAATTTGAGAAGATCTTCGGGTACATCCTGGTTAGCCGCTTTTAGGACATTTATTAAACTATAACATGTTAGTCTCGGTTAAAAATTGATCGGAATGCTTCCAAGACAATGACTACTTACGCTCCGGATTGAGCTTTATCAACCTCAGTAAATAGAGTGATGGCATGGCCCTCAGCTCCAGCACGGCCAGTTCTTTGAGCCAATTAGTCGGCGAGACACAACATACGGGGACGAGGTACTTTACTAACCGGCCAATTCGATGTACGTAATCCTCAACGGTGAGGGGGAACGTAACGTTGATGACGAGCTTGACTGAAGGTATGTCGAGGCCACGAGCTGCCACATCAGTTGCGACAAGAACAGTTGAGACGCCTTTTTTGAAGGAATCCAAACTTTTGAACCGTTCTTGTTGGCCCAAATCGCCGTGTATTCCGGCAACCTTGAAGCCTTTATTCCAAAGAAGTCTCTCAACACGCACAGCCTCCTTCTTATACAAGCAGAACACCAGAATCTTATCCGAGCTGGATGGGCCCTTCTGGTATTTGTTCAATAACTGTACAAGCCTCTGTTCTTTTTCGTGCGGCTTCACCACTTCAACAACTTGCTTGATTCTAGTGTTTGCGCGCGGATCAGCCGAAGGCTCTCCACCAATTGTGACCGTCACAGGAGAAGTCATGAACGTTGCAGCAAGGTCCCTAACGACCGGGGGCCAGGTCGCAGTGAACATAACAGTTTGACGCTTTGACACCGGCATGGGGCGGATGATATCTTTGATGTCCTGTTCGAAACCTTTATCCAGCATGCGATCCGCTTCATCCAGAACAAGATACTTGACTTTTCCTAGATCGACTGAGCCATCATTCTGAAGATCCTTCAATCTTCCTGGTGTCGCCACGACAATAGCAGCAGTCTTCAAGGCCTGTCGTTGCTCATCTTTATTCACACCCCCGAAGATACAAGCTACCTTGATATCCACTAGTTCTGCGAACTTCGAGATCTGATCATGTATTTGCATTGCAAGTTCTCTCGTTGGGGAAATCATCACCGCTGTCGGCTTATAAGGCTTTCCCTTCTTCGCCGAGTCTTGTAAATTTTTCAGGCAGGGCAAGCCGAAGCCGAGCGTCTTACCACTCCCGGTTTCAGCGATGCCGATTACATCACGGCCAGCAAACAGGAAAGGCCAGGTTGCTGACTGGATAGCAGTCGGGGAACTGAACGACTCAAGAGGACGGTACAGTGCACTGTTGCAGGTAGGTAGGTGAGAGAAAGAGGTAATGGGATGAAGCTTCGTTGCTCCCTCTAAGGTATCCGTGATCTTGACGGAATTTTCTTCGAGGAATTTCTCTATGACTGCCGGGGAAGGCTCTTTCAGGTCAGTGTTCTGCGTCTCAGAAGCCTGCGCACCAGCCTTGGAGTCCTCGGCCTTCTTTGTGTGCTTTTCGTTTCTTGACTTTTTTTTCGCCCTATGCTCCGTGCTACCCTTATCTTGGAGTTCACGCTTGGCCATGTTGATTTTGTTGCTTTGAACTTTCTCAGGTTCAAAAGTGGAGAATATGTGTAAGAGGTTTTGTAACAGAGAGAAAGAAAAAATTTCGTAAAGCAAATCGGCTGCGTCTCGAAGAAATAACAGTGAATGCTTTGAGGGCGCCTTCTTTTTGCCCTTAGAATACTTTTATTGTATTTTTTTTTTTTTTTTAATTTCGCTATTTTCTTTTTGGGCTTGCCTGTCTGGAGCAAAACTTTGATTCGGGATAAAGTACTCCATATGGTTAAAACTCTTGCCCTAGTGCTGCTCCGTCCCGCTCCTTAATCCTAATCCAGTTAGTTACTGTCTGCGCCGTGGAACAATCTAGCCTTTTGTGTCCTACATGCAGTAGACGAGTCTACGGAGTCCTACTCCGTCGTAGTTGTATTTGCAGCCGAGTAGTATATAGATATAGTATAGTATTTTTAAAAGAGAGCGTCGAATCAAGGAGGCTCAGAAAAAACCAGCACTCGAAAAGAAGAAAAATCACAGGATCAGGGCGTCTTTAAGAATCTACAAACTTGCGGGCATCCATTGGGATACGTTTTGCCACTACTTTATGCCTACACTAAACCTGCGTTCTCTACCATGGCTGCCTTCGTAGTGATCTTGTTGTTGATTTATTTGTATGTACGCCGACCGTCTCCGCTTCCACCTTCAAGTCGGTGGTTGGCTTCTCAACCGGGCTAGTTTGCATTCAATTAATCGTGCATATTAGTTTTCCCTTGGTTTGATTGCTCTCCAGCAACCTATGGGCATCCGCGATTTCTTCAAATGCGAAAACTTTCTCGATGAAGACCTTGAATGTTTGGTCATTGAACTTGGGTAAAGCATGGTCCACCAGAAGATCACGTAGTCTCCCCTGATAATCTTCATCCCTGCTGCGAAGAGTGCTGCCTTCGAACCTCAATCTCTTCCTCAGGATTCCACTAATGTCAGTATTGGCAGGGAGGACAGAACCACTCATCTGTCCTAGTTGGACAATACGTGCATCCCGTGCGGCCACGTCAAGATTACCTTGAAAATGTGCGGCGCCCACAAAATCGACGATAATGTCGACTCCACGACCATTCGTTTCTTTCAATATCTCGGAGGCCCAGTCTTGACTCTTGTAATTATACCCAGCAGTAGCCCCTAGTTCACGTACGCAAAAGTCAATTTTTTCTTGCGAACCTGCAGTCACATAGACAGCAGATGCTTTGTCAATCTTCGCAAGTTGGATCCCGGAAATTGATACAGATGAAGCCCCTGCATGCCAAAGAACGGACTTTCCAGCGCTGAATTCGCCAATCAGATAGAGCGCCTGGCTTGCAGTTATCCAGGTCTAAGGAGATGGTGCCATGGTTATTACAAATTGGTTCCCTAGGAGTTGAAGGTCAAGCATACCTCTGGTATTCCTGCAGCCTCCTCCCATGTCAACCCCGAGGGTTTGTGTATCAACATCTTGGTCGACACGGCGATGTATTCCGCATAGGCCCCTGACAAAAGTAATGAATACTTACACACTCTATCAAAAAGAATGCCACGTACCGCCATAGGCTAGGCCAAAAACACTGTCGCCGATTTGAAAGCCATTGCTTGTATTCGCACCAAGTTCCTCTATCACCCCGGAAAATTCGACACCCATGGTGCTAGGAGCTTGCGGAGGAAGAGGATATTTTCCTTCGCGTTGAAGCAAGTCCATTCTGTTCAGCCCGAATGCCTTGATCTTGACCAAAGCCTGGCCAGGGCTGGGCTTCGGTATTGGGATTTGGTCAACGAACAGAGAATCGGCACTTCCTTTGCCCCCTTGGATACCTGGGTGTTCTTAGCATATCACGCTCGAGAGTTTGAGCAATGCAACTTACCAATGGCTCTCATGATGCCTCCCATCTTTGCTTGACACTTTAGATGGGTTGACTACAAGTTTTTCTAAATCGCTTTTACTCTGCCCTGTGGTTATTTGTCTCGGTTATGCAGTACGGCATTCAGCGTCATCATTTGTCATCAAATGGAGGGCAATTAGTCATAATGACAAAGTTGTAAGTTAACTAACTAGTTAGTTACGTTAACTGCTTGTTAATTAACTACGTGACCAACAGTTGGTTAACTGCCTACGTACTTGCAGGACAGGCTCATCTACCATTCTAATTCACCGTGATCTAGTTGATAGCGTTCAGATGTTTGTCATATGCTCTTTAGCAGTTTACTATGTATATCCGGAATCTCAAAGAGAATGTAACGGGTTTCAAAACCCCACATACTCGTATGCTCCGGGCGTCACATGTGTGTAGGTAGATTCAGGAACCGATCATAAAGGCCTAAAGGAGGTATGGACACACTGCTGGAATTGGAACCATACAGCAGTAAGGAATTTATGAACATTGATAACAGCCCTATATCTGTTGAGATTGCCTCCACTATCTGTGTTCATCAGACTCACCTGCTTTCATATGTAAGCATCTAGAAGAATTTCCGCTATCTGCCAGAAGTCACTACCGTTCGAACTCTTTGGCACGTCTATGCGGGCGCAAATCAGCGTGGCTACTCTTCTAAGTCCAAGCGACAGCTATTGCTAGTCAAGCGTGGTATCACAGAATCAACGTTGGCTTATATTTTCTTTGTTCAGTTTGTAGCACCTTTCAAGATCCATCATCGTTTCAGGTATGCATCCTATCTTAGTGACAGCAGTCGATGTCACACAATTCCAAAGCCACGGATTTTATAAAAATTTCATTGAAAAGAGTGTTGTAAAAATAAAGATGCACAATGCTTGCAAGGGGAGTCTCAAGAAGCCTTCAGCATGCTGAGAGCATATTCAAGATACATTGTAAGATTCAATAAGATCGGCAAGGCGTGAAGCCTCGTGGGAATAATTTATCGGGTTGGCCGAGGATACCTGATACCGTATACTGGTAGAGTGAATGTTAGCAGTACCATCTGAGCCATGGAACGAATTGCCTTACCGTTGTTGTTCGCCGAAATGATCTATTTTGGCACGGCATCGGAAATTCCAGGTCCGGCAATTGGCATCCTGGAATGCGTCGCCAGCTGCTTTCTCATCCGTCTGGAACAGTTCCATTAACTGATTGGCTGACATGTCCATCATCAATTTGCCCACGTCGTCAAAGCAGCTTAGCCAAAGTTGGCCGGTATGGTCGCTGACATTAACGTGCATTATGTAGCGATAATCTGGTCGGGGGTGAGTCTTATCGCAGCGCTCACAGCGCCACTGGCCGGGATCAAGCTCGGTCACCTTCTTGTTGCAATTTTCTGAGAGACAAGCAGGATAAGCAAAGGACATGTTGTCCTGCTTTATGTAGATGACCGTTGCTTTCAGCGAAAAGTAAACCGCTTCCTCCGACATACCCAATTGCTCCTCTCTTATTTGGGCGATAGTCTTGAACTGGTCCGACTTCATCGTTGATGAGGCTGTGCCTAACAAGGAAGCATGCGAAGAGAAATTCTCATCTCTGCCTTGTGCGTCATACCAGCCTTTGAGCTTGTGGGCTTCCTCAATGTCAGGATCAACCGCCATTGAACCCGAGCTCAGCAAACTCAGACTACGCCCGCCAAAGTCAGAGACCTTCACGCCTTTGAAAGCTATTACAGACTCGGGCAAGGCGTTGAAGTTCTGAGCTGTAGTGCCCCAGATAGTCAGGCGAACAGAGAACCCGGTATTGTCAACCATGACCAGCTCGCGCTTGTTATAGGGCTTGTTTGTAGTTTTGGATGTGATCTGTGAAACCCCCATGTCCTCTTTCAGCACGCCTATCACATCGATCGTAGTATCTTTTTCTACCGATTGGAGGTCACCGATAGAAGTGAAATTGAATCGAACCTGGGGAACATCACTCTGATCCTCTGCCTGATGCGACATGGTAAGTTAAGAGTTCAATGCGAACCGAGCACTTGGACTAACCTTTTCAACCACCGTATCCCTTTCAAAAGTCAGCTCATAATCGTTGTTCAAGTTCGTGAACTGCTTTTTGGCAATTTGCACGCGGCAATTGGAAATATAGTATACACCGCCCTCCTGGAAGACGTCATACAGCATGTCGCATTGGTCGTTGAATCCAGTAGCTCGTATTTCGCCACTGTCGTCCAGTAGATTGACGCTGAAGAGCCTCCCTTCGGTATTCCTATTGTGCCAAGTCTTGATATTTGTCTTGCTCGTACAGCGTGCTTTGATCGTCCATTTGTGAGAATATGGTGAAATAGCTTCGATGGGATATATAGTAGCATGCGCTGCGGCCAAAACAGGTCGTGCTGACTGCACTCCGGTATTTGACTGGGCCTGTGCGCCTGACATCTTGGATCCATAGAAACCGTTGCTGGAGATCGTAGTGGGTTGGTGCTTGTCGTCTTCATCTGTTTTACTTTCGAGTGGTCTTGGTTCGCCAATCTTCTCGGCCTCTCCCAGTCCCTCCAAGACTTCAAGGTCGAGAATAATAAGGATCCTGTCTCGTATGTAAGTTATATCATTGGTGGTGAAGACGTCAGTGGTCACTTACTTCTTGCCTTTTACGGAGTTCGCTTGGAACGACTTCAGGCGAACAAAACATCCCTTCCGTAATAGCTTACTAGACACCATGGGGTTCAATTCTGGAAGGTCAAGGTTAGTAGCAGTGTCTTAGGCAAGTCATCAGGGTTATGCCACACTTACGGGTCGCAAGCATCGTCTGCACATAATTTGAAATGTCACTGAATACCGCTCGATAGCGTTCCGGGTGGCTCTGTTGAGATGGCAATTGCTTTATCTGGACACATTGAACAATAGGCTCACGCGTTTGAGGCTTTGTATCATCGAAGATAGCGCTTAAGGGACATTAGTGACATAATGCACAGTGAATCCCAGGAAACTGACCTGAGTGCCCCAACGGAGACCTGAGATGCTGCTTCTGAAGACATCTGAAATAGTTTCAAGGTAACCTTGTGCCGTCCTACAGACTTGGAATTAAAGAAATACAGGCAATGTCTCGGGGAGGTATAATTCAGAGCTTGAAATGATGAACAGCAAGTGGTGGTCTTGGTGGTTCTGGTACAATCCTGCTACTGCTGAAGGACATTTGCATGAACAACAAATGGAGACGCGACCCGGAGTAGTACGCGGTAGGAGCGCGTTAAGCACCCACCCCACTTTGGAATGCGAATATTACGTGTTTAATGGTCTAAGGTTAGTAGTACAGAGCAGATGTCGTAATACACCATACATCATATGAAAACCGGTACCCCGTCACAGTACTCCGTCTACACAATACACTACGTATCTAGGTTGAAGATCTCTCCCACTTTACCCCACCTTTCTACATACCTGACAGTCAAAGCCTCGACAAAGCAGATATTGGAGAATTTCACCTGCCGACTTATGCTCATACAATAACTTTTATGTATGGAGAGGACGCATGCTCTCTTACTGAAAGTCATTGCATCGTGGGACTCGGACTGATTGCTGTCATTAAATAACTTGCATCAGGCTTCTATATTAGCTTTCAGCTCTCCTCAAGATGGCTTCTTGTAGCCATGTCGCGTCTGAAGGTCAGTTGCGACTATAGCCAAAGCTGGAGTACAGTGCTCATACAGGTTTCTAACCATTATCTACATCGCAGGGCTGAGGGAACCAGCTACGTCGCAGGTTGTATATCGAGAGGACTGTACGCAGTGTTTCGACTCAATAGTGCGTACCCATTGTTTTTCTACCAATTCGACGCCTAACAAAATATCCAGGACGAGGAACATGGGCTTAATGTTTGCTTAACATGCTTCAATGGAGGTTGCGCTGGTGATAGAAATCATGCATTTCTCCACTATGAACGTTGCAGTCACCCTTTAGCGCTCAACATCAGAAGATCACGTAAAAAGGTCCAGGTGTGTGCCAATATCACTTATCTGGATTATACTTTTTTGGTTGCATGGGATTGACAAGATGCAATGACAGCGAGATGAGCCACCGCAGAAAATTTCGAAGCTTGCAATCGCAGCTGAAACTGATGAGGACCGCTATGACACGAAAACACGTGTTGTCTGTTATCCTTGCCGTCAGAGTGATCTCGACGCTTCCAGGGGTAGGCTGCCAGCTGTAATTGATGGCGTGATGAAAGCGATGACCTTCTCCAAAAGAGAGGAAGTCAAGGCCTGGGAGCAGGAGTTCATCCCCTGCGAACACACCATTAATCTCATACAGGGAGCGTCAAGACAGGTTGAATCAAAAGGTGCGTTGCTCCTCTCTTTTTACATTACTCTCACTATAATGCTCACAATTGCACGTCAGAGCTGGTCCAGTGTTCCATGTGTAACCTGAAAGAGAACCTCTGGCTATGTCTAGAATGCGGAAACCTTGGCTGCGGTCGCAGTCAGTTTGGCGGAGTTGGAGGAAACTCGCATGCACTTGCGCATTCTGACAAGGAGTCGCATGCTGTTGCAGTGAAGCTGGGCTCTATCACTGCAGATGGTTCGGCGGACGTGTATTGCTATAGATGCAATGAAGAAAGGACCGATCCTAACTTGGCTACTCATCTTGCCAATTGGGGCATCAATCTAGCGAGCCGTGAGAAGACAGAGAAGAGCCTTATGGAGATGCAAGTGGAGCATAATATGAGATGGGAGTTTTCGATGACTTCTGAGGACGGCCATGAACTTACACCTGTGTTTGGACCAGGTTTAACTGGCTTGACTAACTTAGGAAACAGCTGTTATCTCTCAAGTGTTGTCCAATGCCTTTTTGCCTTGCCTGAGTTCCAAAAACGATATTACCATCCCAACAGCGAGCCGCCGCACACGCAGAGGCCAGCCGAGGACCTTGAAACCCAACTGCGGAAGCTGGCCGATGGCATCCTCTCTGGCAGATATTCCAGACCCGATAGCGATGTTAGGTCTTCACCTGATTCAGCTGAAGTTCCTCACCAGAAGGGTTTAGCACCCGCTATGTTCAAACATCTCGTCGGCCGTAATCATGAAGAATTCTCGACGATGAGACAACAGGATGCGTTCGAATTCATGCTTCACCTCTTCAAGCAAATAAGCTTGTCCAAGCATCCCGAAGGGTTAGATAACCCAATCACCTCGTTCGGCTTCTCTGTGCAGCAGCGTCTCCAATGTCTACGGTGCAAGAAGGTTCGTTACAGGGCGGACTCCCAGGATAACATTTCAATCCCTGTTCCCGCTCGTCGGCTCCCCGATGCAGATGCTTCTGACTCCATGAACGAGTATGAGAGTGTCACACTAGCAGAATGTCTGGATGTATTCACGGCCGAAGAAGTCGTTGAATTCAGCTGCCCGTCCTGCGGTTCCACGGAAGGGTTCAGTAAGAAAACTTCATTCAAGACCCTACCGCAGAAGTTGGTTATCAATGCGCGAAGGTTCGAACTGATCAATTGGGTGCCTACAAAGCTGAATATTCCGGTAGAAGTTGATGAGGAGCCAATAGAATTTGGTACTTACCTCTCTGCCGGGCCTGATCCAAATGAGGAGCTTCTGCCTGAAAGTCAGGAACCTGAGAATGTGTTTAAGCCCAATGAAATCGCGATTGAGCAGCTTGTTGCCATGGGTTTTCCGAACCCAAGGTGCGAAAAGGCGCTGTATATGACCGGCAACTCGGATGTTGAGGCTGCCATGAATTGGCTCTTTGCTCACATGGAAGACCCTGATATCGATGAGCCGCTCGATAAGATGGTTACCAGCACCTCAGGGGGCCAGCAAGACCCAGCTAAGGTTGCGCAGTTGACTGAAATGGGCATAAATTCTAGTCATGCTAGGAGGGCATTGGCAGCGACGGACGGGGATCTCAACAGGGCAATTGATTGGGTGTTCACACATCCGGAGGATTCAATGGACCTCAGCTCAGACTCTGATATCCCTGAACCCAGTGATAAACGTCAAGACTCTGATGCCACGCCAGCGAAATACCAATTACAGTCAATAGTGTGCCATAAAGGCTCATCTGTACATGCTGGGTATGTATGTCTGCTACTTTGTAGGGTTTGAACTAACGGTCAACAGTCACTACGTCGCTGTCGTGCGTAAGGTTGTGCCAGGAAGTAATGGTACTTCGTGGGTCATGTTCAATGACGAGAAGGTTGTTCAGGTGGATGATATACAAGAGATGAAGAAGTTCGCGTATATCTATGTATTCTCGCGGACTTGACCTATGAATTTTAAGCGGGTAGATGAAATATTGTATAGTTAGCGTAGTTCACTGAGTATGTCTTGGTCATATGTTAGTCGTCACTACGGCCGTCGTGTTCTGACAGGTTAGGTCGGCGACGGATTACTATACTATATCGAATTATCATATTCTGCTTTTAAAAGCTATCCATTTATCTAAACCACGCTATAAATTAGGACATACTTGTTATGTGGAACTATTCTATCTGTTAGGAAAGCCCCTGCAATAATTTAATGGTTATAGTTATAAAGATAATATTGATAGAACATCATAATACGATGTTATAGTATTAGCCACCCTTCAGACCTTGAGATATTACATATAATATATATTAAAAGCTTATAAATATTTGGATACAAAAGTTTGTGAGTCCGATTGATCTATAGAAATGCTAGGTGAGCTTTCTCATATATTTTGTTATTTGAATATACCTAGATATAGATACTAAATTAATAATTAATCCTGACATATGCTGTTATATATACATAAATAAGATACTAAATTGGTTTGATATCTTGTTGGCTTTTATTAATCTTACTTTATTCTATACTAATGACTTTCTATGTTTATCTGTTTAATAATCATCTAAAAATATTGGTAATGACACTATCATTAAATTAATGTTTATCAGAATAAAATAAACATTTATATTCAGTGATAGAATCTATTTATCAGGATAGAACGCCTATTAACTAGATAAAGAAGTAATGACTAGATATCATAGAGCATAATAAAGACAAATATATTCTGTACTTAGAAAATAAATTGATTCTTGAAGAATAAGTAATTAATGGAAAATGTTATTTTATAAAAGCGTGATAGAATGCCTAGCTATCCGGGTCAGAGTCATCAAGATAATACATTATCATAGTTATAGAAGTCATGAGATTGATCTTGATTAGAGCGCGGCTCTCCGCAGCTCCTTAATTCAGCTGGAAAAAGTTGAGTTCAATCAGAGGGATTGGTCTTTCTAACAATACAATCAAGAGGCACCTTTGAAATACTTCTTATCTTTATATTTGCTCCTCTCTGAATCTTTATTTTAAGTATTTTTTAAATATTTCTTATCTTTATATCAGCTTTTTTCTAAATCTTTATTTTAAATATTTTTTAGAAACTTCTTATTTTCATTTAAAGAAACATGCTGAATCAGGAGATTAACCTGTTTATAAATAATATAATTAATATAAAAGAATCCACCAAGATACTAATAAAATAATAAAAAAACTCAGTAAATATATTTTTATCAAGTAAATATTCTAATATATACAGATAATTATAAATTTTTAATTAAGAACTTTATTTAATTTATTTATTTTTAAAAATAGAATAAATTAACTTATTTTACAATCTCTTTCTATACATGTATTGAATATATTTATATTTATAATATATTTATTTTTAATATTATTAATACTACTAATATTATTATAAAATAATCTACTGAAAATAATTTTCCACGCAGAAATATCTAACTAAATAAAATATTTATTTCAGCTCAAATGCCTGCTACTATATATCAAATTAAATATTTATTATATTTTTCTAGATAAGTTTATATTTTTCTATATATACTTTATACTTATTCTTTATATATTATTATAATTCTAGATATTATTATTCTAATAACATAGTAGCCCGTCATAAAAATTAATAATTTTAATTTTATTATTATCTAAATTTATAAATTTATAATTTATTATAAATAGATTATATAATATATGAAAACTAATCTAATACTCAAAGCCAAAGATTTTTTAAATTAATTTATTTTTAAATATATCTTACAGCTGGTAATCCTGCTTATAAAATATTTTATAATAAAATATTATTATTAATAGCTCCAGAGGCTGTGACGGCGAGTGACATCTCAGGATCACATGACTTCTATTTTATTTAC